GAACACAGTTGGAAGTTACAAGTGTATCACTCTGTGCCCACGAGGATTTGTGAAAAGTCATAATGGCACTTGTGTTGGTAAGTTTTTTCATTTGGCTTCGTATTATAAAAATATATGACACGCATGAAAAGTAAGAATTTAAATTGGTAAATGTCAATTAAATTGTTTGAAATATTGATATAATAAGGCTTTTGAAGTCCAACCAGGTTTGTTATATTTCTTCAGAATTGCTTCTTTGTTGTATGTTTTGTAACGTCTGCTCTGGTATTCAGATACTGATGAGTGTAGGATTGGAAGCAACCAGTGTCATTACAGCCAAGTCTGTACCAACACATATGGTAGCTACAGATGTTCCTGCCCTCGAGGATACTATTCTACAGGCACAGGCCAGCCTTGTCAAGGTATGATTCTCATTTTACTAGGTGAATGAGATTAACAATGTAGTTTTTTTGGCTCTTTCTATTCACGTTTGTGGTAGGAAGTTTTGTTATCAGTATGTATTGAACATGTAAAAAGTACACAATATATCTAGTACATAGAATTAGTACTCTGGTTTAAACTTGGTATTTTTTCTACTTATCATCTTGTATGTTGTAAGTTTATATTTTAGTTTTCAACATATTTATGATAGACTAATGGATATACATTAACTGTGTTATGGAAACATATTATATTTTGTACTTGTTATTGATACTTGTTTATTCTGTTTTCCTGTGGGCCAGATGTAAACGAGTGTTCCCAGTTTCCGAGCCCATGCAGCTATCAATGTCGGAACCTGAAAGGGGATTATGAATGTATATGCGCTCCGGGGCAGAAACTACTGTCGGACGGAAAGTCATGTGCTGGTTAGATATTGTATTTTATAAGCTGTTTTCATAAGAAATTGGATTCAACTTTCAAATTTTTTTTTAATTCAATACTTTTAAAACAATAACCATATTTATTATAAAATCCCACCATGCATGTTGTCAGAAAATAAACCTGCACTTCAGAATAATTGTTTCTTCTGTAATGAGGACTGTATCATCACAAAAAACAGAGTTTAGTCTGGCATGTCTGACCTGATAAGTGTTTTTGGATCATACAGGATTTAGGCTAGACTAGCATATCTGACCTACACAGTGATTATCTCTACTGATCTTAGTTTATTTCTATTTTTTAATTTTTCTTCTTGAATTACAAAATGAAATAAAAAAGTATGAAACGAAAGAAGTAAAAATTTACTAAGCATCACATGAACTACTTTTTATGTGTAAGATAACCTTTAAAACAAGACTAGTTCCAGTTACTGCCACTAGGGATATTCAGCATATAAATTACTTGGTTGCTTCATTGTTCAGTAAACTCCCAGACAAACAGCATTTTAAACTTTTACATGTATTTGGACTTTGGGTGTCTTAATACGCACATTTTATGACATCTGCTGTCTTCATTGTTGGTATGAGCAGTTCTTAATACGCACATTTTATGACATCTGCTGTCTTCAATTGTTGGTATGAGCAGTTCTTAATACGCAC